ATACATACATACATACATACATACATACATACATACATACATACATACATACATACATACATACATACATACATACATACATACATACATACATACATACATACATACATACATACATACATACATACATACATACATACATACATACATACATACATACATACATACATACATACATACATACATACATACATACATACATACATACATACATACATACATACATACATACATACATACATACATACATACATACATACATACATACATACATACATACATACATACATACATACATACATACATACATACATACATACATACATCACATACATACATACATACATACATACATACATACATACATACATACATACATACATACATACATACATACATACATATACATACATACATACATACATACATACATACATACATACATACATACATACATACATACATACATACATACATACATACATAACATACATACATACATACATACATACATACATACATACATACATACATACATACATACATACATACATACATACATACATACATACATACATACATACATACATACATACATACATACATACATACATACATACATACATACATACATACATACATACATACATACATACATACATACATACATACATACACATACATACATACATACATACATACATACATACATACATACATACATACATACATACATATGATACATACATACATACATACATACATACATACATACATACATACATACATACATACATACATACATACATACATGCATTCGTAAACGCCCACGATATAACAACAACGAAACACAACCCCAAAAAAACAAAAAAACAATTCAAATATATTTCCACTGGCATAAACCTGGTAACGAACTGGATCCGACCATATGTCATACCCAAATGTTGCACTGGTGGCATATGGTCTGCTTTATGAAATGTTTGTTCACATAAAAGCCCGTTGTTGATCACAACAATGTTGGTCTTATCTTCACCATTGGGCTGTCGGTAATGGATTTCTTCGTCAGTTACAGGGAATCCCTTCTCGATATATTTGATAAATACAGTTTTAATTCATATGTATGCAAGGGTCATTAACAATGATTGCCGCAATTTTAGACTGTTATTATCTTTAAAAAAAAATAAAGTATTTAAAGGATATACACGTGTGGGGGTCTTAAAATGTTGAGAAAGGTTGAAGGCCTCAGTCTGACCTGGTATGCTTCGATATGGGTCTTATTTTATAGGTCTAGTACCAGACTACCAGACTACCAGATTTGTAGGTCTAGTACCAGACTACCAGACTTGTAGGTCTAGTACCAGACTACCAAACTTGTAGGTCTAATACCAGACTACCAGATTTGTAGGTCTAGTACCAGACTACCAGATTTGTAGGTCTAATACCAGACTACCAGATTTGTAGGTCTAATACCAGACTACCAGACTTGTAGGTCTAGTACCAGACTACCAGACTTGTAGGTCTAATACCAGACTACCAGATTTGTAGGTCTAGTACCAGACTACCAGATTTGTAGGTCTAGTACCAGACTACCAGATGTGTAGGTCTAGTACCAGACTACCAGATTTGTAGGTCTAATACCAGACTACCAGATTTGTAGGTCTAGTACCAGACTACCAGATTTGTAGGTCTAATACCAGACTACCAGATTTGTAGGTCTAATACCAGACTACCAGATTTGTAGGTCTAATACCAGACTACCAGATTTGTAGGTCTAATACCAGACTACCAGATTTGTAGGTCTAGTACCAGACTACCAGATTTGTAGGTCTAATACCAGACTACCAGATTTGTAGGTCTAGTACCAGACTACCAGACTACCAGATTTGTAGGTCTAATACCAGACTACCAGACTACCAGATTTGTAGGTCTAATACCAGACTTCCAGACTACCAGATTTGTAGGTCTAGTACCAGACTACCAGACTACCAGATTTGTAGGTCTAGTGATGTCTTGATGGTTTTCAATCCTGCCACGTCTTCTGTTTTATTCTAGAGTTTCACTTGTAATGTTTACAGCAAACTGTCTTTTTAAGGGGCTATATCTTATCTAGCTGCTTGGCGCCTTTTCAAACACCACTGTTACATAAAGTCACATAAAACCTTAATTTTTTCAAAAATGGTAAAAAGTTACACATGTATATCTGTTTATTACTTTATTTATCATAACAGTGTGGAGGCACAAATAGATCTTTGCAGCCTGGGGAGAATGGCGTTGCAGGAGAGTTACGCTCAACACTCAACTGAAAGGCGCGACGGATCTACAATCAATTACTGGTGGCATCGGAATTAGAACTCTTCGCTTGCTGCTGAAGATGGGTATGGAGGGCTTATGGCAGTTTTCCTAGTGCTGTGACGTCGATTTTCAATTCAACATCCAATTTATAATACTAACTCAAAATCATCTCGCATTTCATAGTTCCTTCTTCCTTCAATCCAGTCTACTGCCTGAAAGTTGTACACCCTAAGATTACAGTCTGTCTCCCACGTATACCTGTCCAATCTGCAAAAAATGTATCCAGTCTGCAACAAAGTTATAACTGAGGCAGCCCTAACACGACACCAGCCAATTTTTTTGTGCAATCATCGGTCACGCTACAGGTGGGCAGCGTGCACACCAGCACGTGTGTCATCATTTTCACGAGAAGGTGGGCTGTGCACGTTCAAAATTCTGGTGATTTTTGCCTTCATTTTATTGACATGGCGTGGAGTCACCCTTATTTTGTCGTTCCGAGACACGCGGGCGTCAATGGAAATTAAAGAGATGAAGACTGGCTGAATCCGCGATGACTACCGACGGTCAACCTATATATCATGCTTTCACTATTAGTACCCTCCGAGAAATAGGAAGGTTGGAGGACTGTTGGGGCCGTGAATTCACATGACTTACCAGAATGATAGACTAGGGAGTTAGAACTGGCATAGCAAAAAAACGAGACGCACACCAGGCATATCAGAGGACTTAACATCGAACTGGTACTAGTAGCCACCGGACGCTGGGGTTAATACTGAGGGGAGGATCTGAGCACCTAAGGACATGTCTGGAGTGCAATGATGATGATCCAACTAACATTGTACAATTTATTGCTTGGCAGATTAGAAGCAGAATGTTTCAGGCGAAGGAGGTATTTTGTAAGATAGAAATTTTGTATAAATACATGTCTCCTTCCTTCTTCTTCTTTATTTCTCTGCTCATGGAATGCCTCACTGGAAGACACCCATGGAATGGGCCCTTCTGTTCGCTTCGTAGAATAACTACTTTTCGGGATCTCTGATACTTTTGCGGCTCATCTTGTGCGTGGTCGCCCTCTAGGTCTGTTACCGATGTGTCTCTCGTTAAACACACACAAAGAAAGACTACTAGTGAGATGTTTTGTTGAACTAATGCTACTGTATTGCTGTGAATCTTATTAAGTTGAGAAGAACTTGGAGGCCGGGAACATTCTTACTGCGGATACAGTGTACAGAGATAGTAACTAACAACGTCTGCCTGGAAATGGCTGATGAGATCAGAAAACTATACACCACAATAAGAAAGAAACAGTCAATGTTCTTCAATCATGTGATGACAAGAGAGGAACTGGAGAACATCGTGAGGACTGAAAAGCTCAACGGTAGAAAAGACAGAGAAAGACCAGGGAAGACGATGCTGGACGGCGTGAAGAGAGGAATATCATCAGTAAAATTGATTCAAAATACCAACTATTGAGATCTGCGGAGAGAAGTAAATCCATGGCACGTAATAATGATGAAAATATGTCGCTGCATCTTGTGAAATGCAGCATTACTTACTTTCACATATAATGAAGCACAATAATGAATCCGTTCTACTGATTTCAGTTTGCATATAAATAGCAGTAGTAATAATTAGTCTTTCTTCTTGTACATAGAGCAGAAGTCATATCTCTCCATGTCTGGCGATTTGTTGTCACCTGCTTTAGGTCTTGGATGGTTGTTAGGCCCATGGTTGAGCTTTCCCTGATGATGGTTCTACGCAGGGTCTTTGCTGGTCTTCCCCATTTTCTTTTCTCTCCACGTGAGGGCTTGATGGGAGAATCTTGTCCTATCCATTCTGAATGCATGGCCAATTTAGTTCCAGCAACGATTTCTTATAAAACTGGATCCATTATTTGCTTGGTCTCTTGTCTTATTTGCGTATTGGATCTGGAATCAGCCAATGCTGATTAAATATTCGTCTAAGACATTCATTCTCACAACTGTCTTTGTTTATTTGTTGTTGTTGTTATTATTGTAAAGCCAGAGCTACCTTGCTCTCCAACTCTCGCATCCATAAGTTGGCACTGGAATCACACAAGTGTTGAAGATCTTCAGTTCTGTGGGTTTGCAGATATTCGACAGTTTGTTGAAGGCACTAGATGCCAGTGCGATCCTATGTGATATTTCTGGCGCTAGGTCCCCTATAGATGTCATCTTGCTCCCTGGGTAGGTAAGGCTGTTGACTTTTTTAAGAATGTGATCGTTTAGTTTGATATCGTCAGAACTATTGGTGAGATGAATAATTTGTGTTTTTGCTGTGTTACTTTGCAGTCCGATTAGTCATGAAACTTGATGGAGAAGGTTTGTTTTGTCCCGGATATCTGGGTGCGTTGAACTTAAAAGCACTATGTCATCAAAAAAGCCAAGGTCTTCTAGAATTCTGTTAGCCCATTTGATCACTACATTTGTGTTATTAGTGTATTCGTGCATGACCCAATGGACTACTTTTTCAAAGAGAATCAGCAATAGGAAACATCTTTGTGTTACTCCTGATTCCACTGGGAACCAATCAGAGTTGCTGTATTATGTTCCTACACTGAAACGTCTTTCATTGTCGAAGGATGTTAGTGGTAGTAATAGAATTTTGTTTTCTTTGACAGTGCAAGCATGACTGTTGCGGCAAGTTTACGAAAATCAGAGCTATTCACGGTTTATCTGGCACTGCTGATGTTGATTCATCAGTCTCACCCGTCCCTGGCCGATGACGCTGACGGTGAAGATGACAAAGTCGATGAGGGCCGTAGTCTGAGATACGTGTTCCCTTTCTACCCTCGAGAGCTGGACATACTTATTGGACACCTGCAAACAGAGGTCAGTACACACGTCAAGTACCCGATATCTCACCTTGAGACATATGGACATATGGTGCCAGCTCCATATTTGTATACGTTACTTTGTTCTTCATGGATGCTTAGGTTTATATGACACTCGTATGACAACTCAATCCTATATTTCCCATCTGATTTACTTCTGCCCGGTTTGTGATAGATCGACCCAGAATGATATATCAGTCTGTAAACTAACCCTGCCTTAAGGGATTTCAGTACGTGAGCACTGAGCCAGCTTGGTTGCTGCAAGACCAGCTAATGAGGTAATGGCAGTTCTAATATTATAGGAAACGGGTCATCACATAGTTGCACCGCTCTTGTGCCAACAAACGCACGGACCATCCCAGAGTTGCACCGCTCTTGTGCCAACAAACGCACGGGACATCACAGAGTTGCACCGCGTTGTGCCAACAAACGCACGGGTCATCCCAGAGTTGCAACGTTCTTGTGCCAACAAACGCACGGGATATCCCATATTTGCACCGCTCTTGTGCTAACAAACGCACGGGTCATCCCAGAGTTGCACCGCTCTTGTGCCAACAAACGCACGGGACATCCCATATTTGCACCGCTCTTGTGCCAAACGCACGGGACATCCCAGAGTTGCACCGCTCTTGTGCCAACAAATGCAACACAGAGTGTACATCACTGACTCTTTTTAAATAAAATGTAGTATTTCAAATTTCATTTCTTAGCTATTAATGTTGGTTCATGCACAGACATTAGTCCCTGAGCGACAATACTATGTTCTTTTAATTTACATATCAAGGAAAACACAACAGCTAACTAATGCCAGAAGCAAAGATTGGCACATTATAAACAGTAAACCTGCCTTTCTCCATATTGACCTCAAGTCCTATTTTCCTGCTGGCAGATGCTTAACTTCCTATCTGTCTCTAAGGTGTTTTTCCACATATTTTGCCAGCTGTCCGTACATTTTTTTCTCCCCAAAAAAAAAAAAAAAACCCCCCCCCCCCCCCCCCCCCCCCCCCCCACCCCCCCCCCCCCCCCCCCCCCCCCCCCCCACCCCCCCCCCCCCCCCCCCCCCCCCCTTTTCCCCCAACCCTCCTAAAAACTATAACATCGTTTTCTAAGTTTCGATTTTGTGATCTCTTTACAGTTTTACACCAGTCTCAAGAAAGACTGTTTCATGTTTTATTTTTTTTTTTTTTAAATCTTTCTCAAGACTAACTCATTTATGTTTTATTATTTGCTTGTTGTACAATATAATACCCTCTATGTAATACATTTGTTATGGCAATTGTTCTTAAGTTGCCCTGTCAGCTCCGTTCTTGCAAATGATGTTAATGAATCTCATCTTTGTGTTCCAACAGATTTATCGTTTGCAGCAAAGTTTAGAAACCTGTGAAGAAATCAATGATGGAAACCACGAAGCAGGTACTGAACAAAAAGTCTGCGTTCTTGCGCTTGAGAGTAAGCGTGTATGATGTGTATGTGTATGTGTGTGTGTGTGTGTGTGTGTGTGGCTGTCCTCGCACATGTGTTTATGTTTGTGCATTTGTATATGTGTGTGTGTTTCTATATATATATATATATATATATATATATATATATATACACACATATATATTTAAGAGAGAGAGAGAGAGAGAGAGAGAGAGGAGAGGGGGGGGGGGTTGTCCAGGTTTAACACGTTTGACTAGGCAAAGTCATTAATTTGTGCAAAAGTAGAATGCATCCCTTTTAACTCCATAAACACTTTCACTGATTTCATCATCATTATCATGTATCATGTAATAAGATTGAGTGATAATTGTTCCTGCACACACACGACCGCCCCCCCCCCACCCCCCATATTTCTTAAAATACAGTCTTTGCAATCGAATCCTGCATTACCCTCATACAGTTTATGAAAGGACACAAATGAAATGGTTCGTCCATTTGACGAAAATGCCCTGGCACCTAATACCACAAGATATGGCCATGATGCAGAAAAATAAAGACACGGAGCAAGGGGAAGGTCATGCGGAAGATGGAAGGTCAACATTACAAACAGCCTTAAAGAAATGAAGACGAACTTACATAAACCTTTGGAAAAAACAGACAGAAGACTTCCGTTTAGACATAGAGGACAGGCTTGGCAGAATCATATGATTCGGAGTTATTATTGCTTCCGATAGCGCTTTGCAAATGCAGTTTCCATATATAGACCGTAGTCTACGGTTTAACTGCCTTGGCTAATGATTTAGTGCTGGGTGCAGCACTGTGAGCTGTATTTTATTTTAATGGGGAGTGTCTTGGATTCGTACAGCGGTTGTGTCGCATTCAATACGTCCGGTACTCGGTTAATGTGCAGGTTGACGAAATACCTTATCTAATAATTGTACGTGTGTATAGCCAACTTTGGGAGTCACCGTGGCAGAGTGGCTAGACGTTCGCCGCGGATCGAAAGGTCGTAGGTTAGCTCCCTGGCGTAAAGTAAAGGCGGCTTGCGTGATGATGACTACACACCCATCTTGTACCGAGTGGTCTATAAAATATAGGTCTAGCCCTATATGCCCTATACGCCTAAAGGCGTGAAGAAGGGTCCTTTACTTTTTCCTTCTTACCTATAGCCAATTTATTGTGACTGAGTACTTCAATCAACGGAAACTGCATTTCTCGTGGCGACTGTCGGCCTTGGCACCTCTAGCAACTGCCATATTAATTTACTGCGTGCGCAATTATTGGATTGTTCTGGGACTAATTGTTTGTTAACCAGTTTTTTTTAAATTTGACAGTGACGGTCTTTTCGTTTGAACTGCACTGTTACAGAAATGGAGCAAGTCTGGGGAACCCCGATTGTAGTGAAGCTGAAACCTCGACTAAGAGTAAGGCAAAGCCAAGGCAGAAGCTTCCTTACATTTCCTTCTTCAATTTTCCCAGAGAAGGGACAACATGCCAATTAAAACGCAGGGAAAACAGAACTGTTGAGAATTAGCTGAGTTGGGATAACGGAAGAAAAAAGAGAATATTCTTGTAACGATCAATCCCTGAGGCAGAAATAAAACAGGAGTTTATGTCTTTAACTGCTTTTTTTTTTTTTTTTTTTTTCTGTACAACATGATTTTATGATGTCACCAAGTTGTTTAACTTTATTTCTTAGAGCAATCCCCACCCTAAATCTGCTTCAGTAAGTAGGTAGCGAATTCTCTACTAGACGTTAAAGAAACCAACTCTGAATTGTTTAGAGGCTCTTTGTGATTTCACCAGACATTTTTAAATTCATGGTTTGCCACTGCTCTCAACGGTCGGCTCTCGATGCTACTGTCGAAACCTACACAAGGCGGTCTGCAGTCAAATTGACAGCATCTGAAATCAAACCTGGCACCTTGGAGTTACAAACCTGAGGCCACACAGGCCGTCAGCTTATCATCAACATTATCATCAAGAGCATCGCCGGTTTGTGTAGGTGACAACTGATCTCCACAACTTGAGATCTTCAGCTGCGTGTATCAAAATGTCGTCAAGAATCGTCTTCCGTTGTCTTCCTCTGTCTCTGCTCCCGTGGTTTGTATATCCACTGCCACAAACTTCTCATCTTGCTGCTTCTCATAACATGACCAAATAGTTTTTGCGATCAGCAGTTTTCGAGCACTCGCTTCTTTCAAAACATCCAGGCTGCTCTAGGGAATTGTAAACATTCTTCAGTCAAGCCTAATTTCCCAGGCCTCAAAAAAAAAAAAAAAAATTTTGATTGCGTAGAAATATCAGTATGTAGTTTCAATTTGTTCGTCATTCAGCTTTTCTCTCAGTTAACTAACACAAAACAGGAGTCGCCGTGGCGTAGCGGCTAGACACGCTCATTCTGTTCGGTAGGTTGTGGGTTCGCCTCCTGGTGGAGCCGGACTTTTTTCAAAAATGACATTGACTCCCAGGTCGACCCAGCCTTGAGTGCGTACCGGGTGCGGTCTCGGCAAGTAAAGGCGGTTGGCGTGAAGATGCCCAAATGACCCATCTTGTGCCGATTGGTGTATAAAAATATAGGTCTAGCCCTATATGCCCTATTCGCCTAAAAGTGTGGAAAAAGTGCCATAAAAAATACTAAAACAAACACAAAAACTTGCGTGCGCGCGCACACACACACACACACACACATACACATGGACACACGGATAAACACATTTGTTTCTCAGGAAACCGTGTCATCGACATGTACGATAGCGGGGACTCCATCGAAGTCCCGACAGACCGAGATGACAAGTTGGAGCTGATTGCCAAATTCAGGGACACTATTCGAGAGAAAGAAGCCGCCTTGGAGAAATGTCGCTTTAACTTCTGGACAGGTGATCTTTGACCTTTACGTCTTTAATTCACAGCTTGCAAATTAAAACGCACGGAAAAAAGAATGATGTTTTATATTAGTTGAGTGAGGCACCCTGGCGCAGGGGGACGAGAACTGGGGTCTTAGAAAACGCCCCGTCACTCACCTCTACCCCTCAAATGCACAGCAACCCCGTTTTTAAAAGTTCTGTTTTTATGTGTCTGTTTTTTTCCCCAATATGGGGACAAACAAGAGTAGACCCACTGCCTCCCCAAAAGCAGATCGTATGAATCGACTTAATGGCGAGCTTCCTTTGAAGTCGGAGAACATTTGCATGAGAAGCAAGGAACCGACAATCTGCAGGCAGATAAGTCAGGTCTGTCAAACGGATGTGCACGCAATACTGAGGTTCGGAACAAGATAAAAGTCCAGAGATGGATGAACAGCTAAAACTTTCGGAGCTTGCAGCTTGTGAACGCAAAGAAGAAATTAAACACAAAGATGATGTGTCTGTATGTGTGTGTATTTTAATAGTAACTTGTTATTTCAGCATTAGTTGTTGAGCTGACATCACAGCACTGGGAACGTTGCCATAAGCCCCCCATCCGCATCTTCAGCAACGGTAGCAGTGTATTATATTTCCATCGTACCCGTCTTCTCTGAGCGTAGAGTGTCGGCCAGATCCAGTGGTCACTCCCAGCTGTACCATTTTATCCAGACCATAATGATCGATTCGTGCTACTTCGTTGTTCACTTGCTCCAAAAGGGCCTTATCCAATTCTAGCTTGTCATGCAGAAATTCAGCCCCATTGGCGCAGAACCAGCCAGTCTGTCCGCCTGTTAATTTCCTAGCCCTTCTGCAAACTCTGGAGAAAATATCCAAAGAACGCTAAAAACCTGAGACCTCTGACGGATCGTGTTATTTCAAATTTTATCAAATGTATTTGCCTTTTAGCACTTATTCAATGGAATTTGTCCTGCCGCCTTTGTGTATAGACTAAACGCAGGTTTTGTAACCTGGGAACTCGGGTCACTTCAGCATTTACCTAATAGTTGTTGATGGTAGATAGGCCTGTGGACCCTGAAGCACTTCAACAGACAAAAGGAATCCGACCCTCTGGCTCGCGATTTTAAGTAAGGCTTACATTTTGAGAAAACCCGCAAAGGCTTATTTTTCCGGTTAGGTCGTATTATCGGGTAAACACAATGTTCAGGCAATAGTAATGGATTTTTCAATCAATCAATCAGCATATCGTTTACAGAACGTCGCTTTCTTTACGTCACGACTGAGAGTCTCCCTTTCTCTAACCAGTTCCCCATGCCTGAGTGCTTTCATAGCCAATACATCGTCAAGGTTCTGTATCTACATGACGAAGGTCGACCTCTGTCTCGTTTTGCCGGAAACTGTGACCTTCTTCACCGTTCTCTTCAGACTACCATAGCTTGACATGTCCAGATTACCTCACCATTCAAGTTTAGATCATTCAGTATGTCAACGTTTTTCTTCTTCTTGGTTGTCTGTATTTTAAGAATTGTTCTGTAGCAGTTGTTCAAAAGTTCCGATTTTCTTCTTCAAAGTCTATGACTCACACCCATAAGTCGCCACCGGAACGATGTATGATCTTTAAAATTTATCTGCAACTTGCTTGCATATTTGATTCGTACACAGCTCGGTTTCATGGTCACTTAATGTTGTTGCTCTGTCCTCTCACAGGTGGAGACCTTCAATAGCCATTGCGTTTGTAGCACGCGTGAGGAGACACACTGACAAGCATACACTGTTGAACATCAATCTGATCGAGACTGACAAGCATACACTGTTGAACATCAATGTGGTCGAGACTGACAAGCATACACTGTTGAACATCAATGTGGTCGAGACTGACATACACTGTTGAACATCAATGTGGTCGAGACTGACAAGCATACACTGTTGAACATCAATGTGATCGAGACTGACAAGCATACACTGTTGACGAGACTGACAAGCATACACTGTTGAACATCAATGTGGTCGAGACTGACAAGCATACACTGTTGAACATCAATGTGGTCGTGACTGACAAGCATACACTGTTGAACATCAATGTGGTCGTGACTGACAAGCATACACTGTTGAACATCAATGTGATCGAGACTGACAAGCATACACTGTTGAACATCAATGTGGTCGAGACTGACAAGCATACACTGTTGAACATCAATGTGGTCGAGACTGACAAGCATACACTGTTGAACATCAATGTGGTCGTGACTGACAAGCATACACTGTTGAACATCAATGTGATCGAGACTGACAAGCATACACTGTTGAACATCAATGTGGTCGTGACTGACAAGCATACACTGTTGAACATCAATGTGGTCGTGACTGACAAGCATACACTGTTGAACATCAATGTGATCGAGACTGACAAGCATACACTGTTGAACATCAATGTGGTCGAGACTGACAAGCATACACTGTTGAACATCAATGTGGTCGTGACTGACAAGCATACACTGTTGAAAATCAATGTGGTCGTGACTGACAAGCATACACTGTTGAACATCAATGTGATCGAGACTGACAAGCATACACTGTTGAACATCAATGTGGTCGAGACTGACAAGCATACACTGTTGAACATCAATGTGGTCGAGACTGACAAGCATACACTGTTGAACATCAATGTGGTCGTGACTGACAAGCATACACTGTTGAACATCAATGTGATCGAGACTGACAAGCATACACTGTTGAACATCAATGTGGTCGTGACTGACAAGCATACACTGTTGAACATCAATGTGGTCGTGACTGACAAGCATACACTGTTGATCATCAACGTGGTCGAGACTTTTCCTATGAAAATCTACTATCCAGACATTTATTTACTAATTGTTTAACATCCATGTGGTTTCATTATTTGTTCACCTTAGAAATTCCATCAGTGTGGCACGAATAAAATGTTTACGTCCAGACACCAAAAAAGTTCCTATGTTGTCAAATATACCGTTTGTTTTGTGTCTTCCAATATATAAACTGCCTTGTGAAGTTATTTGAATTTAACACATTATATTTTAATTCTTTTTTTAATTTTTTTTATGGCGAACTTATTAATCAATGCCAACGGCATCATCTTTATTTCGACAAGTCAGAACGAACTACAAAGATTAATAGATATGGTGGTGACAGACACTGATTAAATGGGTTCAGCTTTAATAATGTGAAGAAAGAAGTAACAGTGATATTAAAGACAAGAGCAGTGCATAAATGTATCATAAACACTAAAGGCGTTTTTTAAGAACAAGTGCAGAAGTTTAAGTATTTAGGCACTAGTATTTTATCGTGGTATGGGACGCCGCAGGTCGACCCAGCCTCAAATGGGTACCAGGATGGGCTGTCCTGGGAAAGTAAAGACGGCCGGCATAATGCTGACCACATTACCCACCGAGTGCCGATTGGTCTGTAAAAATATGGGTGCTCTTCCCATATGCCCGATGCGCCTAAGGGCGTGTAAAGGGATCTTTACTTTTTTTTTACTTATAGCATTCGACGGAAGATGTATCAGAGAGATAAAGAACAGAACAGAACAGGCCAAACTGTATTTTACAAAAAAACAAAAAAAAAAAAAAAAAAAAAAAAAAACCCACATTTTATGCAATAAATCTATATTCATATCATTAGAGGTTAGCAAAAGAATTACGCCATGCTATATAGAGCCAGTTTCAATTAGGAATCGTGAGCAATGAATGACCAAGCCAGACAATTTCTTGAGGCCATCGACATCTGGTTTTACAGAAGAATCCTTAAAACTTCTTGCACTACCGAAAGCAGCAACACAGATGTCTTGAAAACAACCAAAAACAGCAACACAGATGTCTTGAAAACAACCAAAAACAGCAACACAGATGTCTTGAAAACAACCAAAAACAGCAACACAGATGTCTTGAAAACAACCAAAAGCAGCAACACAGATGTCTTGAAATAAACTCGAATGCAACTTATCACAAACATCACAAAGATACCATTTTTGTTTTGTTTTTGGTCATGTTTTGAGAAGAGGCAAAATGGAACTTGTTGTGACCATTGGCAATATCTGCAAAAATCAAGACAGGAAGACACTCCGAGAAGATTCTTGTCAGTCTTTTGTCATGGAATGGAGCGGTGAACACACGAATTGATACATGCAGCTGCAGATAGCAGATTTTTCAGAGGCATGATCGGCCACCCCCAGTTGGGAAGGCACTTGATAAGTGTAGTTTTAGAAAAACAGAGCACGCAGTGCAGCAGGTTTCGAAGGACAGATAAAACGATGGGGCAGTTGCATCAGTGTTGAAGTAATTATGTTGAAAACAATAAAGGTACAGGCATGTGTAAAAATTAACGGTTTTCAAGTTGTTATCCTCTTTAGTGTTTTTTTTTTTTTCTTTTTCTTTTTTTTAACAACTATTTGTGACTTACTTATTGACTTCACCTCGTATAACCGAGGCACTGGCAACGGGCAGACGAAGCTGCTGTCTTGTGTAGCAATACAAGGTGTCTTGTACGTTCATCACATTTGTTCAGATGTTCTAGATGACCATCCATGTTGTGAAAACATATTTCCATGCGCGTGCTCCACTTTTGAAAAACACATATAACCATAATTATAGTTATGCTTGTATGACGTTTGTTTTGTAGGTTGGGGGGAATCCGCTAAGGGATCGACCGATCGATTGATCGATCGCTGTGTCCCGTCCGGGTTGATAACCTGCATGTTTACCATACCATCCTAAGATTTAAACATCTTAGTTTAGATTGTAGATCATTAAGGCAGATCCCATATACCTCATTCAGCATCCAAAGCAGAAATAAATAGCTCATACGTAAAGACTAGTAATGACCCAACCAGGGGAAACAAATATGTTCTAATCCATTCTACAAAATTTCAGCAGTTCTGCCTCTTGAATACATCCTTTTTTTTTTTTCTTTCGCCTTGCAAATGGTTTAAAGTTTACAGGATCACGGGTTTCATCTGAATGCAAACTGATCAGAGC